CTTTTGGCCTGATTCCATTTCAAATTAAGAATTGAACATTTCCGCATTGAAGTAAAAAAACGTCTAATCAATATATTTAATAACAAAAATTCTGGAAACTGGTGAGTTTTTCCGGCTTTTAAGCACGCATTTGCTCGGCGCAGCAGCCACTCTTGAAGATGCAAGTTACTGGTGCTGGCGAAACATCAAGAAGAAATTACTTTCCACGCCGGCATCGCGGCCGGAAAAGCTCACCAGTTTCAAAACAATCGTTTAACTTCCCAATAGGTTTCAATGATGAAATCGTTAGATTATTTTGCAAAAACCGTACCAGACAGTGTTTTACAATTCTGTACTTGAGAGATTTTGATGCGGTTTGTGCCGCTGCCCTGCCAGATCTAAAACCGGGTGATTTCTTGACTTGGGCCGTTTTCCTTTTCATGGTCAAACAAGATTTGAAGATAATGGAAGTGGAATGGACCAGGATGTTCGGAGGGGCGCAACAGAGCATCAGAATGGCTTGTTGGCTGGGTACCTTGTTAGGAGATATGAGTTATTGCTGGTTCAGTAGCGGACAGTTAAAAAAAATGGGATTATTATAATTAGGYCAAGCTCACAAGGAAAGAATGGATAATAGTTGAAAATGAAAGCRAAAACTGAAGAACAKAACGTAACTTTTTACCAGTAGAATTTTTAATGCRGTTTTGTGTATGTTAAATTAAACAACARGAAAAACGCTGAACAGTCAATCGACGATTCAACAGCCGTTTAAACAGACGGTTAAAAACRTATAAGAATACATGCAGGAATTTGTATTCGTCGAGTGTTTTGTTAGTTCCGCATCAATTATCTAAAAATATCATCGGCTTGATTTAAATCGGATTRATTCGCCGCATGTGTTCAAAATAATTAACGGCAAGCCTCTCATTTGRAGACATTCACCCATTAAACCGTTAACGACACCTACGCCACTGGAAAGCTTAAAGAACCAACGAGGCATCAAAAAAGGGCAGAAATGCTTTGTGGTGTTGCCACTGTTTGTATTTTTTTTAATTTTTCTTGTCTTTGCCAAGAGATTTTTTTAGTTGCAAAACTTCGCACGAAGGAACTGAATTTTTAACTCTGAAAAAGTGTATAAGTTACTGGAATATTATTAAATTTTCTATTTATCTGGAGTTCTTTCAAAAAATATATACTGTAAAGTGCTTAAAATGACATCAATGCAGGGTGTTAGTGAGAAAATTCCACAAAAGTTGGCCTCAGATTCTTAAAAATAATTGTAGAAAACACCTTAACCACTTTGCACCAGTCACTTTGGAGCCATAAAACACCGATAGAGTTTAAAATTTTAGGAAATTCGGCAGTTTTTTGAAAAGTCCAGTTTTGGTTTTTTGTCCATTTTTTGTTAGACGCTTTCTTTTTAAGCAAAATGGGAAAACGTACCGAATGCATCTAGACGTTGATATAAAATTGCCTTAATTTTCGGTAGCTGCGCTATTCACTAAAAAAATATTTTATTAAGTGTTTTTTTTTAGTTATAATTAGTCAGTTGTCAGATTCTTAAAGCTTTTATCGCAAAAATTCCGGAAAATAAACAAAATTCTATTTTTAAAGACGAATTTCAGCTGGTTGATGCTTGGTTGGTTGAAAATTGTGGCCAATTTCTCAAAGTACAAAATACTGGTTTCTTGTTTTTTTGGATTAAGCCAATGTTGCTGCATTTCCTTCCGGACACCCTGAATATATAAATTATTAAGAAAAAAAGTAAGTTATTTACTTATTGGAAGAGTAAGAGGAATTTACTCATTGTAAGATTTCAACGAAAATGTTTCAAATAAGTAAATTTTTGAGTATTTTGGGTAAGTAAGCAAATTTGCAATTTCAAATTGGTCAGTCTCATAAAACGATATCGCTAAAGCCCAAATTAATTCTTAGTTTTGTGCGTTAAACTTTTAGCTTGCCAGCCTCAAACAGAAAGTGCTCTTTTTGCTCCACCCTGTATGATAACGGTGCAAAAAATGATTTTTTTGGACAGTTGGAACCTTTAAGAAAATACAAGCGCTCTTCATTGTTGCCGTAAAAATGAGCCGTTTTTGCGAAAAATTGTTTGCAATGAAAGTAGTTCCGGCTTCAATTTCCTCCAATTCTTATTTGTTTTCAGTCTCAAAATGAGCGTCAGTTACTCAAACAAATATGTTTTCTCACACGAAATTGGCAAGAGGAAACAGCTATATTTAATTATATCTCTTTTGCAGCAACATAACATTTTTTAAATGTCCCAGAAGAAAATCCAGAGGGTTTAAATCGGGCATTATGGGATGCCAGGCATGTTCCTTAGGCAATTTATTGATTTTAAAACGTATTATTTGTGTTTCCTAAAGAATAAATAATTAATGTTTCCTAAAGAATATTTACTTCTGCGAAAAATTTAATAGAAGTTGCTTAAAAAGAAATTTGATTGGAAAACTTCACTAAATGTCTTGAAAAATCTGTTTGGATCTCTGAATCTTTTATGAAAAATTTCGGATAAAACTCCGTTTCTGTCGTTTCCAACGCCGTAAAAATACTATTAGGCATTTATAATAATTAAAGGAAACAGTCGAAATTTCCCGGTCATTCCGTGAAACTGACTTTTTTGCGTTTTTAGGCAATCGTGAAAGGGAATTTCTTCCTGACGTTTCGCATGCACGAGTGGCTAGCATCTTCAGTGGTTGCTTTGCTTGGGAGCAACCCACCTCTGAAAATGCAAGCAACTTCTAATTGACTACTGCGTAAAAACCGGAAAAACTTATCGGTTTCTAATCAAGGAAAATTTTACAGAAAGAACCCGATCAGTACCATTAACTGGGATCGAAATGGTACCGAAAATATTGAGCAAACTCATGGCAACAATGCCTACCATGGCTTGTTAACTGGTGTTCCGTGAAATGTAGTCAACTTTACAAAGCGCCAAGTTTCGGTACGATTTTAGCGGAAATTTTTCCAAATTGTGTGTTTTTCAGTAATTTTAGTTCTTCTGCTTCCTATCGGTTGAATGTGGATTCAAGCGCAAAGTCCAACGAATTGAAAAGTTATTTTGAATCGTGCGAGTTGAACGACTGTTCTGTGTATAGTTCGGTCTTAAATAGAAGCAACATGTTTTAAATGGAGCATGTTCAGTGGAGTTTATGAATGTCAAACATATTTATTTATTTACGTCGGCATTATCTGGAATAGAGCAATAAATTTTGATAACAAGGCCGCCTTCAGTCGTTTTTGTAACTAACAAACGCTTCTGTGGAACTGTTTTGTAGTGTGGTTTTCCTGGAATAATGCACGAACATTTTCCGTTTCACCTTTAAAGCGAAGTGCTGCCCAAAAGTGTTAAGTGTTGAGGATTGTTGATTTTGCATAGAATACACACGTTTACAATGTGGATATTTTCTTGGCAAGGTGAGGAAACATGTGGCAGGTTTTAGTATCTGTTGGATCGTCGCCCGTAGGCTGGGTACAGTTTCCAAGTCCAAATCTATCAGGGAATAAACCTCTCATTGCAAGCAAGATTTTTTGGGAAAAGTGGGCAAAAAAACCACGCAAATCTAAAACTTCTTGAATTCAAGCATTTTTTGAGAAAACTGCCAACATTTCCCCATCCATGGTTCACTTTCTAAAAAGG